TTCCACACAGTCTTCCGAGCTCCATTTTCAGTCTCAGAGGGCTGCAGGAGGCCGTCACGGCTGAAAACGGAAGGGGGGAGCTGCACACAGTCTTCCGAGCTCCATTTTCAGTCTCAGAGGGCTGCAGGAGGCCGTCACGGCTGAAAACGGAAGGGGGGAGCTGCACACAGTCTTCCGAGCTCCATTTTCAGTCGCAGAGGGCTGCAGGAGGCCGTCACGGCTGAAAACGGAAGGGGGGAGCTGCACACAGTCTTCCGAGCTCCATTTTCAGTCGCAGAGGGCTGCAGGAGGCCGTCACGGCTGAAAACGGAAGGGGGGAGCTGCACACAGTCTTCCGAGCTCCATTTTCAGTCGCAGAGGGCTGCAGGAGGCCGTCACGGCTGAAAACGGAAGGGGGGAGCTGCACACAGTCTTCCGAGCTCCATTTTCAGTCGCAGAGGGCTGCAGGAGGCCGTCGCAGCTGAAAGTGGAGCCTGGGAAGGGCATACACAGTCCCGCAAGCTCCATTTTCAGTCTCAGAGGGCTGCAGGAGGCCATCGCGGCTGAAAACGGAGCCTGGGAGGGCGGCACACAGTCCCACAAGCTCCATTTTCAGTCGCAGAGGGCTGCAGAAGGCTGTCACGGCTGAAAACGGAACCTTGGGGGGGAGCTGCACACAATCCCCCAAGCTCAATTTTCAGTCGCAGAGGGCTGCAGGAGGCCGTCGCGGCTGAAAGCGGAGCCTGGGAAGGCCATACACAGTCCCGCAAGCTCCATTGTCAGTCGCAGAGAATTGCAGGCCATCGCGGCTGAAAGCGGAGCCTCGAGTGAGCTGGCCACACCCACTCCGGCCCCGCAAGGTCAAACATAACCCTGATGCGTCCCTCGATGAAATCGGGTTTGACACCTTTGCCCAAAAATGAAACTAGAACTAACTCGTGGGGGCATCTCGGTGGTGGGAAGGAAGGACAGGACATTGCGTGACTGCTCATCAACCAGTGTCTTCTCCGGGATAATCAAAAATCTGAACTCGTCCCCCCGCAGGGGACTCCGCTCGGAGGGAATGGAGACCTTTATCCTCGGGTCTGCTTACCATGCAGGCTTCCTGTGGCGGGCCGAGTTCATTCCCCAGGCCCTGCCCGCCGATCACTCCAACCCAATCCGCAGAGGTGCCGGCTGGTCCCGCCGCTTGACCGCTCAGGACGGCATCTTGGCGGTCGCTCGGCTTGAGCAGCTCTTCCATCTGGAGCAGGTTCAGCTGTAAGGGGGAGCTGCAGCGGGACTCGAAGCGGGGGGATTCGGCCCGCTCGGGCTGGCTCATCGAGTGGGGAGTGGAAGAGTGGGAAGGCACCTGCAGGCTGGCTTCGGGCCTGGGAGCTAGCGTGGCGTTGCCCGGCTGCGGGGGTCCAAAGGGGAAAACGGGACTCCCAGGAAAGTATGTCTGGGGGAGGGGGTTGTTAATCTGGGGGAAGACGTAATTGGGGAGGACGAGGGCCACCATGGGGGCGACGAGGGGGGCAGGGAACTGAGGGGCTGACAAGGGGTTGTGCGAAGGCTCATTGGCCGTGGGCGCTGTGGGACGAGGGGAAAAGACGGGGATGGGGTAGGTGGGCATAACAGCCGGGTAGGACATGTTTGGGAGGGTGGGCGGGGAAGGTCCTGTGGGGGCCCAAGAGGAGGCAGCGGGGGAGCAGGGCAGCTGCGGTGGTGAGACCACCGAGTTCTGGGGGGTGCTGGTGCTGTCTGACGATTTGTTCTGCCGGATGCGTTTGGCCTTGGACTTCCGACTACGTCCCCGGATGTTTAGCCCGCGAAGTCCCGGGCGCAGGCAGCGGAGTCCTGGGGAGACGAAAAGAAAAGAGGATGAAGAAAGAGGAAAAGGAGGAGGGAGGGAGGAAGAGGAGGAGAAAGCAGGAAACCAGATGAAGAGGGGGAAGCAGAAGGAAGAGGAAGAAGGGAAAAGAGGAAGGCAAGAGGAAGAAGTGGGAAAGTGGAAGGAAGGAAGAGAAGAAGAGAGGAAGACGAGAAAGAGGAAGGACTAAGGAGGAAACTAAATGAAGATTCGATCGTCCAGGCTAATCTTAAAAGCCTAAATCATGGCAGCTGCCATAATTTAGAGAGGATTCCTGCTGGAGAGGAATTCACCGTACATTAAATTAAAGGGGTTTATCGGGACGAGGACTCAACTTCGTGCTGGCGGGGAAGCCTACGTCAGAACAGTGAGTGGCGGCAAGCGGCTGCGGGAGAAGCGGATAAAGCAGCGGACTCCTGCTGGGCGGGACTGTCACTGCCACCAGTGCCGGGAGGAGAGTCCATAATTAGAACCCTCCGAAAAGAAGCCCTGGCGGGTTTTTTTCGGCGGTCGAAAGAAAACAAGGCCTTATTTTCGGAGAAATACGGCGGTTAGAAAGGAGGGGGTTTCGCGGAGGAGGAGAAAAGAAGGGAGGAGGAAGAGAAGGGGGAAAGAGAGAGAAAAAGGAGGCGACATCCCGTGGCTTCTTCCCCCCCCCCCTCACCTCGCTGGTCCTGGGCCCGAGGGTGGTGCAGCTCCTGCCAGCTGTGCCGGGAGGGGGAATTGAAGACATGCAGCTGGCTGAGGTCCTTGAAGCGAGTCAAGAAGGAATGTTCTTCCTTCTGGGTGTGGACGGAGAGCACCTCCTTGGTCAAGCCCACCCGGCGGTACTGTTGTTCCCGGTCGGGGGTCACGCCGGGCAGAGGGGCGGGAGGGGTGGCGCTGGGCGCCGTCTCTTCCATCATGACGATGTCTGGGGAGGGGGGGAAGTAGGGAGGAGGAGGAGGAAGAGGAGGAGGAAGAAGAGGAGACACCAAAAACAAGGAAAGCGAAGGTCAGCCCATCGATAGCTCCAGGAGGAAAAAAAAACCTATTTATGCCTTAAATAAGCAACTCCTCAACTTACGGCCACCCATCAGCCCCAAACCTTCGTTGCTAAGCGAAACATGAACACCCCCCTCCCCATTTTATGACCTTCCTGACGACGGTTTTTAAGTGCAGTGGGTACATGAGTAACACGGTTGTTCCACAAAAGGGGACACCGGGCATAAGTACGAGTCAAGGGGCCGGTTTTGATCACGTGACTGACCGGGGGGGGGGGCCACGGGACAGGCGCTGCAAGGATTGTGAGCGTGAATGAAAAAAATGATCCCCAAGTCGATCTTTCCCCCCAGTGCCCTCATCGTTTAGGACGGTCACTAAGCGAGCAGTCGTATGTCGGGAACAACCTGGACACGTTTCCCTGTTCAAAAATCTCGGGTTTAAAGAACCAGCATGTTTTCCGCTCGGCTCCAGATATCTAGGCAGATTTTCTCTGCCGGGTTTTTCCCCCAAGGAAGGAAAATTAGGAATCCGTTACAGGGAATTAACTCGGCTTATAATTGCTCGCTTTGCGACTGCTTGAAGTTGTGACCGACACACACACACCCAAAAAAAAGTTTGCTTGTGACACAACTCTGAACTTCCAAAAGCCAGCTCTATCCCACCCCGTAGCCATGTGACCTGCATTTTGGATGGTCACTAGTCGGCCCGCATTTATCTCCATTCGCAACATCCCAGCGACCCTATTTTGCGACTGGTTTTCTTTTTGCGACAGCCGTTCGGCGAGCCCATCGTTCGCCGTGGTGTGGGATGGAGGGTTTCCAGAAAAATCAGTGTTTTAGTTCTGGGTTTCTGACAAAAAAACCAAGCCACCCTACAGCGAACAATGGGCTCGCCGAAAGAATGAAAAAAAAAATGAGATTGTTGGGATGAAGCCCACACCCATCTGAAAACATTGTCGAGGGTGATCACAGGATGTACGAGTTGGAAGGGACCTTCTGGGTCATCTAGTCCAACCCATCTCCCCTCGTTCATTACACGACCCACCACTTCCAATAACGTCTAGCGTTTTTATTAATATTTTTTTATATATTTTATTTTGCCCACTATTTTATCTTGCATTTCGTTTTATCTAATGTTTCATCTCATTTTTTTAATCATCTTTTTAAGATTATGTTAAGCTGCCCAGAGTCGTTGGCTACCAAGACGGGCAGGAAATAAATATCGGAAATAAATAAATAAAATGGCCAACACACCATCCAGTGGCAATGAGTCTCCAAAGCCAAAATCGAGAGGGGATGGAGGCAAGAACTGGGATCAAACCGTTGGCTGAACTTAATTCTACCCAATGTTAATATTTATAACATATTTACATCATATTACTAAATAAGTATTATAACATAAATAGGATAATATTTATAAAAAGCAGCAAATGGTATGTTTTTTTTTATTAGATATGACTGGCAAAAATCCAGTTAGGCTTCGACTTACGACCACAAGGGAACCCAGAATTTAGGCTGCTAAGCGAGACCTTTTGTCAAGGAAGCTTTGCCCCATTTTATGACCTTTCTTGCCACTGTGGCTAAGGGAATCCCTGCAGTTGTTAAGTGAAGAATCCAAAGGTAAATTCTATCACGAGCAACGGTCATTTAAGTGTGAAAAACGATTCTTTTTCCGCTGTTGTAACTCAGAAATGTCACTTAAGCGAACCATTGTGTCGGGGACCGCCCGTGCTGATTAAGCAACGGCAGGGATTCACTTAACGGTGGTGGCAAGGAAGGTCGTACGCTGGGGTGAAGCTCAGTTAAAACGCTCCTGGCTCAGCAGCGGAAAATTTGGGGTTCAAATATGCTCGTAAGCTGAGGATTTAAAGGTAAAGGTTCCCCTCGCACATAAGCGCCAGTCGTTCCCGACTCTAGGGGGCGGTGCTCATCTCTGTTTCAAAGCCAAAGAGCCAGCGCTGTCCGAAGACGTCTCCGTGGTCATGTGGCCGGCAAGACTCAACGCCGAAGGCTCATGGAACGCTGTTCCCTTCCTACCAAAGGTGGTTCCTATTTTTCTACTTGCATTTTTTTTTACATGCTTTTGAACTGCTCAGTTGGCAGAAGCTGGGACAAGTCACGGGAGCTCCCTCCGTTACGCGGTATGCTAGGGATTCGAACCACTGAACTGCCGTCCTTTCTGATCGACAAGCTCAGTGTCTTAGCCACTGAGTCCCTGTTGGATTTACCTGTACAGGTGGTCATTTATATTTGATTTCTAATTTCCAATTTGCTTTGGGAAGGGAGGGGGGGGCGACGGGGAGGTCCAAAGGGTCCGATGTGGCCCGGAGGGGCGGGACCACAAAATACCCAAATCTCTGATGTAGACCCCGCCCTCCCTACATCTTCCCGCCACGTCTCCCTTCCTCGACTCGTCTCCCGGCTGCCGCATCCGCCCCGCACCATCCCACCCTGCCCTGGATGTTCTCAAAAAAGGTGGGTGGACCACCTCCCCTACCCGACTCCGGGGGCTTCTTGTCTCCCACGTGGACGATGGTACTGCTGAAGCTGCACTGACTGGTCACCGACACCACGCTCTCGGCTTTGCTAGTAGGCAAGGCCAGCGGAGTGAGAGGGCCTCCCACCGCGGTGGCGGCAGACGCCGCCACCCCGGGTTCTTCCCTCTCGGACTGGCGCTCTGTGGCCGGCAGCCTCTCCTCGGGCACATCTGTCCAAAGAGAGGGCTGGATTAGAACTCGAGACGGGTGGGGTGGGGGGTCCTCAGGGCTCCCGAGACGCACCGAGCAGGACAGAGAGACATAGAGATGCCAAAACCCCAGGCAGGAGCAGGAAAACCACACACAAAGGAATAGGAGAGAGTAGCGGGGAAGAGCGGAAGCCGGATCATGGAGAAGCCCAGAAGGAGAAATTGGGGGAGGGGGGGGAAGCTGGGAAGTTTTTTGGGAAAGGGAAGGGGGGCGGGGAGAGGAGGAGACTCACTTTTGCTCCGCGCAGCCACCTGCTGGCACACTTTCTGCTTGTCGTCGTCCGAATTGGAGGAGGTGGTGTAGGAGGAGGAGCCACACTTGCGTTTCACCCGGCTGGGGATGTTACAGCTTTCCAGGTATCTGTAGGGAGGGAAGGAGTGGGGGAGGAGATTTGAAAAAACAGCAATGTCAGGTGCCGAAGACCTAGGTGTACCTGTGATGGACCTATTAAACTGCTTTATTGATGAAAGACTATGTGTAGGAATCTTCTAACTAAACTGCTTTATTGCTGAAAGCCTCTGCACAGGAATCTTCTAACTAAATGCTTTATTGCTGGAAGATTATGTTTAGGAGTTTATTGCTGAAAGACTATGTGCAAGAATCTTCTAACTAAACTACTTTATTGCTGAAAGCCTCTGCACAGGAATCTTCTAACTAAACTACTTTATTGCTGAAAGCCTCTGCACAGGAATCTTCTAACTAAACTACTTTATTGTAGGAAGCCTCTGCACAGGAATCTTCTAACTAAATGCTTTATTGCTGGAAGATTATGTTTAGGAGTTTATTGCTGAAAGACTATGTGCAAGAATCTTCTAACTAAACTACTTTATTGCTGAAAGCCTCTGCACAGGAATCTTCTAACTAAACTACTTTATTGCTGGAAGACTATGTGCGGGAATCTTCTAACTAAACTGCTTTATTGCTAAAAGCCTCTACGTAGGAATCTTCTAACTAAACTACTTTATTGCTGAAAGCCTCTGCACAGGAATCTTCTAACTAAACTACTTTATTGCTGGAAGACTATGTGCTGGAATCTTCTAATTAAACTGCTATATGGCTGGAAGATTATGTGTAGGAGTTTATTGCTGGAAGACTATGTGCTGGAATCTTCTAATTAAATGTTTTATTGCTGGAAGTCTATGCACGGGAATCTTCTAACTAAATTGTTTATTGCTAAAAGCCTCTGCACAGGAATCTTCTAACTAAACTACTTTATTGCTGAAAGACTATGTGCTGGAATCTTCTAATTAAACTGCTATATGGCTGGAAGATTATGTGTAGGAGTTTATTGCTGGAAGACTATGTGCTGGAATCTTCTAATTAAACTGCTATATGGCTGGAAGATTATGTGTAGGAGTTTATTGCTGGA